AAAAGAAAGGAAAACAAATGTCCTCAAATCAATTTGTTGCTGAAGTAGGTGAAGTGATAGAGTCTAGCAGGGTGGGAAACAGGTGCCCAGGAAAGATGAAGCATATCTGGAGGAGTTATTGTGGCTAGTGATCGAGACAATGAACAAGGGAGGAGTGAAGGAACTTCTAGAGCACAGTGAACACCTTACTCTCAAGCTGCTGGACTAGCCCACCAAGGTCCTATGATTTTCTGCAGCAACTCTTTCAGCAGAATCTGAGAAAGAAATGGTGGGGTTAGGCAGTTCCATGGCAGAAGGTTAAGAGGGCAGGGGAACTTGGAGTTAATATGTGGGCCTTGTTCACATGACTATCTTGTTCAAACAGAAAAGAGGTCAGGTGTGTCCAGAAAAGAGCTCCTAGACTAGGCTACATTGCAAGAGGGCCTGGGATTTGAAATTCTAGTGAGAAGAGAAAGTATATACTCTGGACTTTGGAGAGAAGAAGAGGAGAATTAAAAAAATTATAGTAGGTAGGAGAGTTTACAAAGTTTGAGACCTAGAAGAAATAGTGTGATAATTATGTTGTTGCTAAAACCCGTCAACTGTTTGATTAAACAACACTGAGAATTCAGCAGATTATGCTTTTGCTGATGTGTCTCTTCTCAGCCTTGTGGCCTTTTCATCAGTACTTGCTATAGTAGTTGTGTCCTTAGCACATTAAACCTTATACTTATTAAGACTTGCAAAAGCCCGTGCTTTATTTTTTATCCTATACTCACCAAGATTATTTTTAATATTATTTATATGGTATGTCCTCAGTGAAGTGAATTAATTAAATATTATTTATATTTATATTGGTTTGCTCACATTGAGCCCACTTATTATTACTCTTCCCTTTTTTGACTGATTTGTAAGGGCTCTTCATATATTAAAGATATTAGCTTTGGCGGGAAATGTTTTCAATACAAATGACAGACATTTTGTCTTATGTCTTTGGATATCGTCTATGATGTTTTATGCCTTACAAAAGTCTTAAAGTTTTATATACTCTAATTTATTGATGGTTTCTTTAAGCCTTCCCCTCTTAAACATTATCTATAATTTACCCTCTCATTTAGTGTTTATAATGATTTTATTTCTTCATGACAAATCTTTGACCCACCCAGAATGTATTTATTTATTTATTTATTTATTTTTTTTTTTTTTTTGAGACAGAGTGTCACTCTGTTGCCCCGGCTAGAGTGAGTGCCGTGGTGTCAGTCTAGCTCACAGCAACCTCACACTCCTGGGCTCAAGCAATCCTTCTGCCTCAGCCTCCCGAGTAGCTGGGACTACAGGCATGCGCCACCATGCCCGGCTAATTTTTTCTATATATATATTTTTAGTTGTCCAGATCATTTCTTTCTATTTTTAGTAGAGACGGGGTCTCGCTCTTGCTCAGGCTGGTTTCAAATTCCTGAGCTCAAACAATCCGCTCACCTTGGCCTCCCAGAGTGCTAGGATTACAGGCGTGAGCCACCGCGCCCGGCCCAGAATGTATTTATGATAAAGAGTAGGATAAGGATTCAGGGGTTGGTGGTTGGGACAGGTGGGAGGGGAAGGTCATGTGTGTACACGTGTGTCATGCGTGCATACCTGCGTGCAAGGACTACTTTGCTTTCCTTTGCAATTTTTCCTAAGTGCATCCATTTTAAGGACCTCATGGAAGGGATGGCTGTAATCTGAGGTGGGATTTGCATTTTATTGGGACCTTTGGACATAATATCATCATACAGCACCCCTATGCCATTCCCCCCCAATTTTCAAAGCTGTCATATTTTTACCATAATTGTTAGCAGATTCATTTGTCAAATTAGCTAAGCTATTACTGGACAGAAATCAAGACCCAGAGGATGGTGGACTACAAGGAAGGGACCCAGAGAAATTTTGCCAAATCCTGATCTCAAGTGCTGGGGGCTGGGAAGGGTTGGACCTTGGAAACCTTGGTGTTGAGAAAAATTTTCAAAGGAAGCTAAAAGGGAAAAAATGGGAAGGGCTTGAAACAGATCTGCTTTGCAGCTGTGTCTACAGAGCAGAGCTTCTCAAACTACCTGTGGGGAAGACCAGGCATGTTGGGGGATTCAGGTTGTTAACTTGTTTGCTTTTAGTTTCAGTCCATTGTGAACTGATACGTTTATACAACACAAATAAATAGAAAAACGAATTAAATAAAAAGCAAAGGCATACAAAATACATGCCCAATTTTTTATTAGATTGAACAAACTACATTTCATTAATAAAATAAATTAATATAGAGCCATGTTAAATAGCTGTTACGGTTTCTAAATTCTGACTCTCAATTTCTGTCCCCATCTTGCTCCAGCTCAGTAACAAACAGGTCACAGACTGGCACAGGTCTGCGAGCCACAAGTCTGAGCAAGCAGGTGTCTGGGCCATTGAAGAAAGGCGGCCCATGGGTAGAGCCACACACATGGCCTTTGGAGCATCGGGACAGCTGCTCTGTACGGGTCTCCTGAAACACAAGAGGATCAAAAACGACATCTCTAAGAGCAGCTAACGAGGGCAGCTCAACATAACTCGGCAGAGGAGAACCGCGAGGCCCCGACGTGTAAAGCCAGTCCCGGGCTGAACACAGCCTTGCACTTGCTCGGCCCGGCACAGCTGCTGCACAGCCGTCCAAAGCAAACACGGCCCTCCCCGCAGCAGACTCAACAGAACAAAAACCAACATCCAGAAATAAATTACATCGCCGAGCTCATCACGTTACACAGCCCACTGTTCTCAAATCCAGAATCCTGAATATAATAACAAATGATACTATTAACCAGCGCATTGGTCTAAAGCCAAAACAAAATAACTCATTATTATGAACCAACGTGATTCTCAGAAGTTTCCAGGTCAGTTACAAGAAAGAGTTATGAGACTGTCTTCCCATTGAACTAAATCTCACCCATGTCTAATTGCGGCGTGCACGGCTAAATCCTTTTTCCCTTCGGCACAGCCAGCTTTCCTCTTAGCGCATCTGAGCCCCAGGAAACTCTCAAAGCAAGGCAGGCATGTGGTCAGCTTGAAAGGAGCATGGAGCCTGGAGCCAGCACATAAGGGCTTAAGGGCCACCTGCTGGCTCGGTAATCTCAAGCAAGTCTCTGAGCTTCAGTGTCTTTATCCATAAAACAAGACTGATGACAAGCACCTCCCTGCAAATGCACCTGAAAACGTTTAGCAATCTGAACAAAGCTATGTGGATGTCAGTTCTTACTACACAGAAATACGCAGCTGAGAGGTGTTTGTAACCATGCCCCCCACGAAGCTTTGTCTTTCACACAGTTGATTTCTTCCTCCGAAGTTACACGCCATCTTCATGATGTTCCCAACACTACTGGGTACAGTAGAGAACTCACATCATCCTGTCTGCCTTCTTCAAAAGGAAGTGGTACCTGAGGGACATCAAGGCACATCAACAGTGACAGACATGACTTGAAAATTCACAGGAACATTTGGGTGGAACAAAAAGTTTGGTTTATTAATTTTGTGGCTTTTTGTAACCGGCTCCTCCTTATCTCACCTTCTACTCTCTCTGGCAGGAAGTCACTGCTCTGCCTTGGTTTTGTTCATTGAGTTTAACACACAGAAAGCATATTATATGCAGCATCCCTGTAAAATGAAAGCAGGCTACTTATCAAATCCTGTGCTCTGGCAGTGTACTTAGTAACATACGAGTTACTTCTGGTCAGGCAAGGGATTTGGTCCAGGTTGTAAGCTGTGTAGCCTTAGGCAAATCACATAGCCTCTCTGAGCTTATTTCTTCAGTTGTGACATGACTATAATAGTTGCAATGCCTTCCTCAAAGACATAGGTGTGAAAACGTAAATGATCATGTAAAGAGAATTAGAGAAATAACTGAAAGCATTTTACTTATATATTATTAAATTATAATGTATAATAATAATTATAATATTATTTATTATATTCCTACTTTATTGTCCTAGAAAACAGCAGTTTGGTAGGAGTCTCTTGCAATCTTCCAAGCATTATAGCTTTGGACTTTAATTCTCCTTTCCAAAAAAAAAAAAAAATGAAAGATAGAGTGCATATATCTTAGAAAAGAGAAAGCAAGTTCTGTTGATGTAATGTAAATTTTGGTTAGTGTTTCTAGAAAGCAATTGGAGTTCTGGTGCCTGATTTACCTATTTGTACTCATTTTATAATGTTTGCGCTATTGGTTAGTACTCAGCACAAATAGAACCTTGTAGAATTTTAAGTCTAATATCCTTTGTAGTGACGGAGAAAATATTTTAGAAGGCCTGGCAATGCATTATCATCTGTTCCTGGGGAAAAGATGAAATGCAGTCCTTGATTTTTAAAAGATATTATTATTATTAAGGTCCTGGATAAACACATGGCCAATTTCATTTAAAAATGAGTAAAAGAGAGACTCTGAATCAAAAATATGTTTCCAATGTTCCCCTTTAATAACATTATGAAATCTCCCAAAAATGTAACTCAAATTTAACCAAATTTGGTTGAATTTAGAAGAAATGGCATGACCAGGAATAAGTTTGCTGCAAAACATATGGGTTCGGGCTTTAGCTAAGCCACATTGTGAAGTAACCATGATCTGTACAAGGTTCCATGTCTCTCTTCATCATAAATCTATGTCCAAATGAAAAATAGAGAGGAATGAAATATGATAGGCACCATTTTATGCCCGGAAAAATAGTAAGTATTACTTTAGAGCAATGACCATCTTTGAACTCTGCAACTTCATTAAGTTCTTAAGGTGTGGACATTTTTCATTCTTTCACCATTTATAACATGAGTACTCTTATACAGATATTGGGGACAGGTACCTCGAGAAATGAGTTTTTTTGTTGTACACATACCTCTCCCCGAAAGGTGCTAAAAGCACAAACCTGAAACTCCCCAACTGATAATACACTTTTAAACTCGGGTGTGAAAAATCTTATCTCTAAAGCTTGTGGTGAGAAAGCCAAAACTGGCAAGAACAAAACTCAGACTTCAGAATCTTCCTCCTTCATCAATAGAAGCCAAGTATTTCATCTGGACTTCTTAAAGCTAAGTCATTAAAATGACTAAGTTTTCTTCTTTTTCTCTGTTTTTCCTAATAGCTGGGGCTTATATGACTTCAGAGTGTAAGTATCTCTTATATCTACCACATATAAGCACTAAATTAATTTGTAGTGATTCTGTTGGTACATTATAAATGAAAATGATTTTCACAATGATTTCTATCCTTCTGAACTGTAATGTGTTATATAATTTTTCATCAGTAGAATTGTAGTAACTATTAGATAGGGTCGTTGTTTTTGTTTTTGTTTTTTGTTTTTTTCCGCTTTGAAAATAATGTAGTGACTGTCGTCAGAAGAATTACATGAAACAATCTGCTTGGATCTTTTATGTGAAATCCTTTGGTTTGCGTTTGTAGGTTTCAAGATGGAGATTATTGGAGGGAGAGAAGTGTCACCTCATTCCAGGCCCTTTATGGCCTCCGTCCAGTACGGCGGGAAGCACGTCTGTGGAGGGGTCCTGATCGCTCCCCAGTGGGTGCTCACAGCAGCCCACTGCCACTTCCGGTGAGTCCTCCACGCTCTCCCACATACGCGTTTTTCCTGCAAGGTAGCTAGAAGAGAAGCTTGCCTCTGCTGGGCGAGAACTCTATCTACTGTTAGCTTCTGTGATCACTGACCATCTGGTGGGGTTTGTTTACCCTTTTGCACATCCGTGTTTTCTGTCCTGGGTTTTCCTTTTTCAGGGAGAGCTGGGCTTCTTTCTCTGGGCGAGCCATTAGGCAAACTCAAGTCCTCTGTATGATGCCAGGGAACGCAGCAACAGCAGTACCCGAAGCAGCAGTTCTGGCCGCAGTGCTTGTGAGGAAATTGGACAACCGGAGCTTGCTCTGTGCTTTTTAACTTCCCCGTTTTACAAATGGGCCATAATCGTAATCGTGCCTGCTTCATGGGGTTTGAGAATTAAGTGGTATCTACTTAAGTATTTTAGCATGCTCAGCACTCTTAGGAAGCACAAATAGGTTGCAGCTATTATCAGGAGCATGATGCGGGAGAGAAGCCTGCCTGGCCGACGGCTCTCCAGACCCCTTCTGGCAACTCCTCAGCCCTCACCACGGGCATCTTCTGGCAACTCCTCAGCCCTCACCACGGGCATCTGAGGCCCACAGTTCGGGAACCACAGCTTCCCCAGGGGAAACAACTTTCCCAGGTTGGAAAAAATGTTATAGATGATTTGTAAAAGAGAAAGAGAGTGTGAGAGTTATTTTTCTGGGCTACTTGAAATGAAAGCTTTTCAGAAGATAAGGTACAACCTCCCAAAGTCCATTTTGGCCTAGGATTCTCTCATTTCAGCTAATAAAGTACAAAAACCACCTTGAGATGCTGCAACCACCCCCAAAGAAAAAGAAGCAGGAAACTAATTTGGTATTTGTTATTTTGTATGTTAGCTTGGGTTTTTTGTTTGTATATTTTTTCCCTTATGTTTCTTGCCTGAATAAGCTGAGAGGGAGCCTTCTCTTTTTCCTACAAACGTTACAGCATTTCTCTTAAGAATCTATCTTTGTCGTAATGGTTTGCTCCCTAGGCATCAGCTATACCTAAACAGAACAACTGAACTGACTTGATTCTCCATGCTTTGGGCATTTTGTCTGCTTGCTCCATGTTAATAGAACTGTTTGATCACAAATTAGATGTTTTGAAGCCTGCAAACAGGGAGAACTTCTGTTTTATTTCTAAATAGCAAGCTGCTGATTTCCGATGGTTACTTTATTTAAATGCAGTTCTTGCCCTCATAGAAATCACCCTGGCATCCCCATCACTTTTGTCCTCCTCTCCAGAGCACTTACCTCCTTGTGAGGCAGACGGTAACTCATAAATGTTCATTCAATCCAAAATATGCACATGTTCAAATATGTTTTTGGTACACATTCACATGGACTATAACCTTCCCAGAGCCTGATCTATAAATGTTCAACAAATACTGGATAAATTAGAGGGTTTTTTTCTTTCTTTTTTGTTTTTTGTTTGTTTGTTTGTTCTGCTAAGCCTAAAACATGGTATATGAAGTAGTCCTTCACAAACCATAAACTACTATAGGAAGGCAGATAATATTATTAAGTTGAATTTTAAATTTTGTCAAGTGGATTTAACTCAGGAGAAGTAGATTCCCAGATTGGGGGAAAGAGATTATATAAAAAGACTGGAGATAGATCTCAGAGTTTTGAAAAGAAAAAAAAAAAAAAACCATTGCTAAACATCATTTTAAATGACTAGAGTATAAAGAACTCCAAAATATGTGGATCAGATTTCCTCTACAGGACACTTGGGTACAAAAAGTAGGCAGATCAGTGCTTGGAAAAATATTAAGCTTTATGAAATTCAAAATATTTATGAAATAGTTCAATGGTGGCTTCCCACAAATGTACTCCCAAGTATCCTGTTGGAATGAATAGTTTACCCCAGGCCTCTTGCTCAGCAAAATGGTGAAGTGGGCCAAATGTGGGGGGGCTCCCTTCTCACCACCCATCCACACGGCTTCCCCTGTAGTGTCTTGGCCCCTTTATTAGTTGCCCTGTAAAATATAAAAGGAAACTGGCCAAAAAAAAAAAACTTCCTGTATAATTTTTTCAGCATTGTAACTTACCAGAAGCAAAACTCTCACCAGCTGTTGTCCACTGTCCTCCTGAGCACCCCATATCCCCCTTGCCTGCCTACTAAGTTGTCAGGTGGAACCTGCCACAGCCCTTCTACACGGCCTTGCTCCATCTCACTCAAGGCTCCCGGAGGGAAATGGTGAAACACTGGGGCTCTGGATTCAAACCAACTGAGCTTTAATCCTGCCTGGGTTTGCATCCTAGAGTCTCCACTTAGTATCTGTGGGATGTTCTCCAGTTTGTTAATTTACCTGAACCTCAATTTCCTCATCTATAAAATGGAGACCATCATAATACTTACCTCACAGCACTGTTGTGAGGTTTGAATAAGGGAAAATATGTAAAATGCTTAGCACGGAACTCAAGAACTTTAATAGATGTTATCAGGTGTTGTTATACGACTGTCTATGCCTTCCATGGTAATAACTAAGGAACTAATTGGATGATCCAGTTGTGTTGATGAGGTAGGACTGGGCAGACCTCCCTATCTGACGCCACGTCCTTCTCTCTCTGTTAGACAAGAGAGAGCTCCAAGATATAGGGACCCTGCCTCTGCTGCCATCCCTCAGGGAGTGGCTCTAAGCAGAAACATTCCTCAGTGTCTAGCCGAGAACATAAGAGCCTGGGAGGAGCTTAGCTTAAAGAGAAGCTAGGAAAAGAGCACTGGATTTGGAGTCACAAAAGCTAAATTTGGGTGCTGATTTCCATTCTTATGAGGTGAGTCACCTTGGACCAGCCAGAGAACACCCCTTTACTAATGAGGAACGTATAGCCCATCGGCTTTAACAACCGAAGAAGGTTATTGTTAGGCTCAACCGAGACAACGTTTACAGACGTCTTCAGCAGACAATGAAGAGACTTACTGCCAGCAATCCTGTGGTTCTGCTCCATGTGTAATTCTATTCTAGGCAAGTCCAAGGTGGGACTCATGAAGCCACGTTTCAAACAGATGCCTCCAGGTGATTCTGAAGCAGGTCTGAAGACCACACTTAGAGAAACACGGTGTTGAGCAGATGAAAGACACTGATATTATTACTTCTTGTCTGTGTGAATTCAAACAAGGTTTAGCTTAGAAGGTGAGATCTAAAACTCAAGTAATTCCAGGTATCCCATGGGCAAAGAAATCACTCTTGGTAGTACAGATTATAGTTGAAAGGCATCTAGAAATTGAAAGTTCAGCATAATGATCTGCTTGAGTTGTTTTGGTATTCACATGTCCCAGTGGAGATGAAAATAACCAAAACATTTCAAAGACAATAACTAGTCAAGGAAATTAGTTAAAAGATGAAAGAAAACCAGAAATTTTCTCAGCACTTCTCCCTTGGTCAGAATCCACCTTCCACACCTTGCCTTTGTATGGAATTTGGAGCCTTCTTCATGTGAATTATTTATGCACATATCCACTTTTTGTTAGAGCATTAATCCTGGGGATTTTGTATCATCCTTCCCCTCTAAAGCTTTGGCTTTTGTGCGTATGTTGAATTTGAATTTGAATCAATCCTAGGAAATCCAATCCACATCCTATGAGAAATTTCAACTCCATCCTGATTTTGCAATAGGCAAACATTTCAACAAATAGAGCTGGAATTCCCAAAATAAACTCTTTCGGTAGAAACCAAAAGTGGTCATTCCAGACAGTCACAGCTCTGCCATATGCAAACCCACTCCTCTGTAGTCATGTGCTCACTCTCCAAACCCTAAATAATCATGTCTTCCTTTTTTCTGTATGTTTCTGTGCTCTTTTTAATTTTTATTAATCTTTACTTATCTATGCATGAGTACATGTTTTTACTGTAATATACCTTGCTCCCTTTTTTAAGTAGCAAAGAAATAGTTATATGTATACAGATAAATACAATTATTTCTATCACCTTTCTTTTTCCATGAAAAGATTTGAGGCAGCTTCCTCACCTCAAATGCAATGAAGACACATATTGCAGTGGGATATTACCTTATCCCATAGTATACAAATGGCTCCAAGGTATTGCCAAGATCTCAAAAAAATCATTTCTACTTTTAACACTGGCCATAAATGTAATTTTATCCAATGTACAGTAAATCATATCAATTGTGGCATTATTGAAACACTAGAACTATGTATTATATATACACTAGAATTGTGTATGATTAGGGATTAAAAAACAAAATAAAACAAAACAAAAATACCTGTGTTTCTTCACCTGATTCACCAGTTTGTGCTGTATAAATATCCACAATGAAATGGCTACTAACCTTAAAGTATCTTCATTTCTAATTAGGAATGTTTTTTCACCTTGAGGACAGTTTTCCTTTCTCGTCCAAATCATCTTTCTAAATGAGGGGCCGGGATGTGTGAGCATATCTGACAGGCACGTAATGGGCCTTGCTTCTCCATGTGGCCCTGAGATGAGGTCTAGACATACAGATGAGCAAGCGTAGAGTGGGATCTTCACCTTAAATGTGAAAACACTTAACACTGGGAAGATCAAAAAGTTCTGGAGATAGGTGACGGTGGTAGATGAACAACAATATAAATGTACTTCATGCCCACCAAACTGTACATTTAAAAATGGTTAAAATTATAAATTTTATCATAACAAAATTTGGTATGAGGTATATTTTACTGCAATAAAAAAACCCTTAATGGGTATAGTAGTTGGTATAAATCTCAAACTGTAAACTCAAGAAATATAATTTCCTTTATTTTTACATAAACAAACATAATTTTGTTGTAAACTTGATCCAAGTCAATTAAGATTTCACTCCTTTTTTTCCCACAGTTGGATACAAGTTTTGATATTCTTTTGCAATGCCAGGGAATTGGCTAGGGTGGGATTAAGGGCAAGACATTTGGCCCTTGATATCAATTCAAGCTGGGGTCCACTGAGACCTCGGTCACTCCATCTAATCTTAAGCAGGTTACCTTGGAGATAGTCCTTGTTTCTGTATATATATGACCCTCTCCACCATCTCCACTCCCCATTGGGGGATTTGGAAGTGATTCTGTTACTTTCATTCTCTTTGCTTTTTCAGGTTTGATAAAAGCCAATCTCCCACAGTGGTTTTAGGAGCACACTCTCTCTCAAAGAATGAGGCCTCCAAACAAACATTTGAGATTAAAAAATTCATACCATTCTCAAGATTTTTAATAGATCCTAAATCAAATGATATCATGCTGGTTAAGGTATGTAGCATTGCCTTCTTTCAATTTTGCCAACATTCTTATCAGCATAGCTCAATTAGTTAAATCATCTACACAAAACCATTTTGTTAGCACCCCCCATGTTTGAGGTGATGTAACATATTCTATAAGGGCCCATGTTACTCCATATACTGCCTTGAAAGAAACAAGAATTTATCAAAAATGCATCAGGGCTATGTTTATACAAGGAAAAACAGCTCTGATGCTCACATATGTAGGAGAAGGAATATCTCACAGGCTCAAGGATCCACACTGAAAGCTTTTTTCTCAAATGTTTTTTTCATTAGCAAGTGAAAAACACAACTGTCATGTGTACAACAGAGCCAACCAAGTGATTTCAGGGACTCAGAAGTGAGTTACAACTTAGTCTAGACCATACATAGACTAGTCCGAACTTAGTCTAGACCATACTCAAGGGTCCTATCCAACAGAAAGCAGCCCAGCCCTGAAAGTCATGACCTATGGATGTTATTCCACAGAAAACCATCCAATGCAGGGCAAAGGCCAGTTTGTTCAAGACTGGGCAAAATTCCTGCTCTGTATAAGCTCCCTCCCCAAGTATCAGTGAACTCCACAGGGAATGGAGACTGTGTTCAAAAAAGCAACAACCACAAATGCAGCTGCAGGCTACCACCAAAGTAGATTGAAGAAAAGGGCCGCCCTCCTAAGACAGAAGGACCACACATACAATGCACAGGCTAACAGCAGAATACTACCAGGAAAGGATGATAATTTATTCTTTTTTCAATCTGTCAGCTTCACAAGGCTGCAAAACTTGGCAAATATGTTCAGCTGCTCCAACCAAGATCCAAAAGCTATCTTAGAGCTGGAACCAAATGCCAGGTTACTGGCTGGGGAGCCACCAACTCAGATACTTTAAGCCTCTCTGATACCCTGCAAGAAGTCACTGTTACTGTCATAAGTCGAGAAGTTTGCAACAGCCAAAATTACTACAACCACAACCCTGTCATAACCAAAGACATGGTATGTGCAGGAGATGCCAAAGGCCAGAAGGATTCCTGCAAGGTAAGAGTCCCTCGTTCACACAGGCATCCCAGAGGACTATGCCGCAGCCAAGTCTCCATTTGCTCACTAATGTTGAGGAGGAAGGGCATGGAGAATAAAAATTTTCTCTCCATTCCTGCATAGCATTCTCTATTCTTTTTTATCTACAAGTGTGAATGGGTCATAAAATCTTCCACAGTGCTTAATTAGCACTCATTAAATGTCTGTTAATCAGGATAATAGACTGTTTTGACAACTTTGACAGGCTTCCTATGTATGAGAGGTGTTAACATCCTTAGAAGGTCTACCCTGAAGTCACTAGTGGTGGTTAGAAGATAACTGATCTAAAAAACCACCTTTCAAATTAATTAATAAGAAGGTCTTATAAAACTCAAATTAAAAAGTTCGAGTATACAGTATATATTTCTTAAATAATGTTGACTATCTTAGTCTGTTTGAGCTGCTATAACAAAATAAACTGGGTTGCTTATAAATAACAGAAATTTATTTCTCACAGTTCTGGAGGCTGGGAAGTTCAAGATCAAGGCACTAGCAGTTTTGGTGTCTGGTGAGGGCCCACTTTCTGCTTCACAGACGGCCTCTTGACCCTATCCATGGTGGATGGGATGAGGGGTCTCTCTCAGGCCTCTTTCATAAAGGCATTAATCCCCTTCATGAGAATTCCACCTCCATGATCTAATCACCTCCCCAATCTCCTAATACCGTCATCTTGGGAGTGAGAATTGCAACATATGAATTTGGGAGGGACACAAACACTCATACCATACCACCGATTAATAAAAAGGAATAACAGCCATTATATTTTTCAAAATCTTCTGTTTACTGAGATAGTGAGGAAAAAAAATTGGGTGTTACTGTTTATAAGTGACTAATATGTAGCACAGATGGATTACTAACATTTTAAAAATTAGAATACAATATTCATGTCATACTACATTAAGCATTATTGGAGGAAAAGGTATGATGACTTCCAATGTCCTGTGTATCTGAAGTGCCCCAAGACTCTCGCCCTCCTGAACATCTGTTATCATGGCTGACCAGAGTATAAGGCACCGCAGTTTGTAATGTGACCAGCAGCAGAGACAAAGGCTGGTCTTCAAATTTAAAAGGCAGCTCTTTATCTGAAAGGCCACACCATCCCCTCTATAACTCTTTCACTTCTTTTGACAGTTATGTGTTTTGTTGTTAGAGTGAGTCTTCAAAAATCATTTCATTCAACAAGTATTTACTAAGTGTGGTGTATACAAGAGCTGTCCGGAAAGTATCCAGCCATGTAATATGAAAAATATATTAACAATGGCTGGATACTTTCCAGACAGCCCTCGTGTACATAGTATTGTGTTTAACCATATGGGGATGCAAAATAAAAAAGGAAAAGAATAATACAGAAGATATATTAATAGTCCCTGCTATCAAGACATTTGCTACAATACATTGCTCCTTTCTACTGGTCTCAATAACAACTTGATTTCAGGTCTGTGAGCACCAAAATGAACTCCACAACTTAAAAAATTTCTTTTATTTCAGTGGATCTTTTGAAACTTTATGTCTACCCATTCTTTAATGAATAAAGTTCAACGGTCGTAAATTACAAAAGGAATCTAGCCGTAGAGACAGCACAGAGACATAGGCATGGACATAGAGACAGAGGCATAATCATAGTCATAGTTGTAGACAGAGACATGAACAGAGAGAAAAACAGACAGACAGAAACATAGTCCCAGACAGCGACACAAACATAGAGGCAGTGTTGGGCACTCTTCAGGACACAAAGAAACCAAAGACCCAGATAATAATCCTTTGAACAACAAACAGTTGGTGGTAGAAAATTTTCAATAGCTTCTCATCAAGTATCTGCCCATTTTCTTTTTTCCAGGGTGACTCAGGGGGCCCCTTGATCTGTAAAGGTGTCTTCCACGCCATAGTCTCTGGAGGTACTGCATGTGGTGTTGCCAGGAAGCCTGGAATCTACACCCTGTTAACCAAGAAGTACCAGACTTGGATCAAAAGCAAGCTTGCCCCATCTCGTGCAAATTTAGATTACGAATGATTTTCCTGGATCTACCAGTTACTTGCTTCTTTTTTTCCTAATATGCTCATAGGTCAACTTTATCTTCAGATGTAGCTCAATGCAGGTAAAGAAGAGCACAGCCAGGCTCCGTTTCTGCTCCCTTGAGACTCATTCTGCTAAGGAGTCAAGTTTTTTGTCCCATGTATCACTGATGTATTTTTACCATGCTGATTTCATTCTAAATAAAATTTAGAAGACTATCTGTTTGTTTTTTATGGACATGAAGTAATATCTGCCCCCAATTCGCCCACACTACCAAAGGGCAATAAGGTTATGAAACAAGACAGTAATAGTACCACCTTCAACCAGGTTTATGTTGTGACTTCTGTGGGATCATCCTAAGTTGTCAGGGATTTTTTTAATTGTTGTAAGAACATTGAACATGAGATCTGCCCTTTAACCAAAGGCATGATCATGCACAGCAGATCTCTAGAACTTTTTCATCTTGTATAACTGAAACTTTATACCAGTTGAATAGCAACTCCCCATTTTCCCCACCCCCAGCCCCTGGCAACCACCATTCTACTCTAAGCGTCTGTAAGTTTGGCTATCCTAAGTTGTATTTTTAAAACAATAAACAGTAAATATAAACACCCCAACTCAAGAAAGAATTTTTAAGATTTATTCAAATATTTGCACAGTATTTATTATTCATGTGACATTTTGTTCCAGAAAGTATTTAGAGCAATGTACAAAAAAATACTTGCAATAAAACAAAATACAGAATTAAAAATAAATTGGTGAAGATGCTGGGGCAAAGGGGAAATGAGAGTAAGGAAGAGAAGATGAAGGCAAGAGTGTGCACATGGCACTCATAGTGCCATAAGTTTCTTTCTGTACATTTTCTAGAAGGATTCATACTTGGCTCTATGCTTTGACTGATGCAAAAAAAAAGAAATCAATACAGAGATATGAATTATGGCATCCAGGAAATAAAAATAAGTTGTTTGCCCAGAAATAGGACCGCTGGTGCTGGAACTGAGACTAGAGAGAATTCTCTTCCGTGGTCCTCCTGAGAAGGACATCGTGCCGTGTTTCCCGTATCCCCACCAACTGCACTAGAATGACCTGAGATTATTTGTAATGCAGATTGTCTTGACCTCTTGCCCAGAAATGCAGATAGAATAGGCCCAAGGTGGTCCTGAAAATCTGCAGTGTTTAAAAGCAATCTTTTAAACAATAAAGGAGCAAATCTGAAAGCCACTCATAATGAGCATCCTTAATAACATCTTGCAATAAAGACAACAATGAGTATTAAGGGATTGTTTTGTATAAATCTTTCAGTGTGAACTGATGACTTAAGACCAAAGTACAGTTTCATAAGATCACTGGAAGATCTCAGCGATCTTGAACTGTGGTCATCCAGCGATTAGTAACAATTTCTTATTTGGGTGGAGAAGCGTGGTGGGGAATGGGGAAGCTTCTCCTCCAACTGTCAGAAGCCAAAAGATTAGTCTCAGCCTCTATATTTAATTTGGATTTCTGGAGATAAATAGTGCTTGTTTCTAGGTGACATCATCAAGTTCTCTTACACGCATATAGAAATAGATGCTTTTGTTCGTATATTTATTTGTTTATTTTTTGTCATGGTTCCTATAAACCATTAACCAGCACTGTCTCGCACTATGAATACTTAGAGAAATGAAAGCACTGGATTAAAAAAGGAAAGTAGGCTGGGCACGGTGGCTCACACCTGTAATCCTAGTGCTTTGGGAAGCCAATGTGGGAGGACAGCTTGAGGCCAGGAGTTCGAGACCAGCCTGAGCAAGAACAAGACCCCATCTCTACAAAAACAGTAGTAAAATTAGCCAGGTGTGGTGGTGTGTGCCGATAGTCCCAGCCACTCAGGAGGCTGAGGCAGGAGGATCTCTTGAGCTCAAGAGTTTGAGGTTTGACTGACACCACTGCAGTCTAGCCCAGGTGAAAGAGAGAGACCCTGTTTCAAAAAAAAAAAAAAGCTAACTAAAATTATTCAGAATAAAGTAGTAAAAGGTAGTAGGTTCTTTAAATATTCCATCTTGTGTCATTTTGATTCATTAAAAATGTACTGATTATGTACCAGACTATGTTTTATAAGAAAAGAAAGGGGAAAATTGTAGATTCTCTGCACTCACCATTTTAAAAATAATTCTGTATCTATTTTCTCTAAATTTCAAATCCATGAAACACATCTTTATAAGTCTCTTTAACCAAAAGGACTATTGAGATTGCCCTTGATTCCAGTTGATGAGTTAGCCTGAAAAGTTGTCACTAAAACCTGAGGTTGTGTTTTTATTTTAGAGTCCATGCTGTTAACACCCAATAGTCAGACCAGCTCGGATTGCCAGAGAGGAAGCTTCTTTCAACAGCCACGGCAGACCTGGCAGCTTTAAAATTGGAAGATAAACAGTTTATTTTGACAAGCAGCTGATGATGGAGCCCACAGTCGAATGCATCCCTCACCCTTCCAGGGAAGCAGTATTTTGTTAAATATACCAATTTCTCTCAAACATAGGCTAACAGAATATAGTATTTTAATATGGGAAGTTCTGTATTTCAGAGCTTATTTGATTCTATCTGTGGCCTCAAAATAAAGTTGAGAGTCAAATTGAAGCAAATACCCAGATTTTAAAATTGCTCAAAGGTTGTAGGGGAAAATGATTTGCTGTTGTCATCCTGAATCATCCCACTGTCTCCCTTCTTTGTGGCTGTGGACAGAGAACATTTGCCTTCTCTATGCATGTAAAAGAAGGCTTCATGCTTTATTTTATGTTCACCCTGTTTTAATAGAAAGTGACGACACCAAGAACAATTAAGTCTAAATATAAAGAATGAAATAAATCAATATTGATTCAGACGGGCAATTAAACCAGTCTTAGGACCAGGTAGCAGAATCAGTCCTACCTTCTGACCTTTTGCACATAATAAATCCAAGCTCACTCTAAAAGGGATATGCAGAAGGGTGCATTGAGCTTAATTGTTCCAGAAAGCTACTGATTAAAGGAGGATGCTCTTGGTCAATCAAGGAAGCACTTCCTCTTTGACTAAACTCTCATTTTTGGAAAGAACACTGCTGTGGACTGAACTGTGTCTGCTCCAAATTCATGTGTTGTACCCCTAACCATCAGTGCGATGATATCTGGAGGTGGGGCCTATAAGGAGGTAATTAAAGTTAAATAACGTCATAAAGAGATGGGCCCTGATCCAACAATATCAGTGTCCTTATAAGGAGAGACACCAGAGAGTTCGAGCTCTCTCTCAGCCATGTGAGGACACAGTGAGAAGGCAACCATCTACAAGCCAGGAAGTGGACCCACTCCAGAAAACAATTTGGCCAGCACCTTGATTTTGGACTTCCCAGCCTCCAGAATGGTGAGAAATAAATCTCTATCGTTTAGGCCACCCAGTTTGCAGCATTTTATTATAGCAGCCCAGGCTGCCTAAGACAGACACGCTTGTGGCAAGGGAGAAGGAATGGTGTGCTCAACCTGCCCGAGGGCAATGCACGTAGATGTCTCAAAATGTCTACAATTTCACAAGGTTACTGAGACACACCTAAAAAAGTCACTCCTATGCTGTCTTAGTAGTTATTTGAGTACCAAATGCATCCCAGCTGAACAGTTGGATTCCTTGTGTCTGGAATGACTCAGCCCTGCTTTCACACATTGACTTCCTGTTGACAAACACTGATTTCTTCACTTTCTGCTGATTCATATCAATCAACTGAAACTCTCCTCATCACCTCTTGTGCTCTACCATGAAAGGATCACGTGCTTTTTTTGCCTGTAACCATAAATGTCTAACAACCACAGATCCAGGAAAAAGGAGTCAACACAGGCCGTGCACCAGCAAGTACTGCAGGGAAGGGAGGCGGGCTAGCCCCTAGACCTGTATTCTCGTCCCATGGCAAGCCCGTCTTTATTTTATCCTGATTCCATTAAACACTCAGCTGACTCATCTGGTCTTTTTCTGATTCCATGTTCCTCAAGCAACCGTCTGTGAAAATTTTGCTCCGTGTAACAGTTATTTCTCATTGCAAATTAATAAACACTTTGCTTTTCTACATCTATGATATTTTACCTCTAAGTTGGAGTCAATTTATTTATTTATTTATTTTTTATTTCAGCATATTATGGGGGTACAGATGTTTAGGTTACGTATGTTGCCCTTGCCCCCCCTCCCTAATTTATTTTTTGAGAGACAAATCCACTTTTGATGTACCGAAAAAAATCCAAGTTTCAATCCCCATAGTAGTGAAGGTCAAACCCGGAACTCCATTATATTGGTAAATTCACCAACATAATGAATATTAACCCCACAAGGCTTTTTAAGAGCCTGATTTTCCCCTAGAGGACACCTGACATCCCTGCTTTGGCCACACGCATGAAACGTGCTTGTATTTGGAACATCTATACAAACATATGCTTATCTGTGCTCTGATTAACTAACAATTCCAAGAAGTATTATGGTTTTTTAGCTGTGTTTTATCTGGTTTGCTCAGTAGCTGAGACTACTGGTTTGCTACTCAACAGCCTTCTCCTCTTTTTCCTTGGTAACCAAACTCTGACTTTATTTGAGGCCACAAATGTACATAGCCAAAAGATGGCATTTTCTTGCCTCTCTCACTGCCAGTAATGGTCAGTGAGAAGCAAGTGAAAGTCAAAGCCTGGGGGCTTCTAGGGAGTTCCTTTAAGAGAGCTGATTCAGCAGGAAGGAGTGCTCTTTTCCTCTTCCTCCTTCCTACTGTCTGAATTGAGATGTGATGGCTAGAGCTACAGCAACAATGCTGAACCACGAGGCAAACTCAAATAGAAGCCAGGTGCTAGTGACAATGAACCAGAAAGAAGGAGCTGATGACAAAGGAGGGTCCGTGCCAATCCTTCACTCTTTATTTGAGGACTTCTTTTACATAAAGTAAAAATAAAATAAAAATATTTAATCCATTTTTATTTGGAGCTTACTGTTATAAACATCCCCACCTAATATTTATAGTAAAATCGAAACCTAAAATTTCTACCCAATGATGTATGTCCAAACAATGAACAATCATGTAATTGTATGCCCTTTGCCCAGACTGTCCCAAATCCTAAATGGCTTTAGCTTTTGACTTTGCCTTATTCATGCAAGAATCGATTGAGAAAAAGTAACATTTAAATG